AAGAAGAAGAAGAAGAAGAAGAAGAAGAAGAAGGAGACTCAACTGTAGGAAAAATAATCTGATTCACCTGACCTTTCGTTTCCTCGCGCGAACCCACTATCAGAAACTATCAGTGTACAACCGAAAAGCCAGGAGGATAAAATTCTTATTAAAACGAGCAAGCTCCCTTTTCAGCTGCTTCTAAAAACCCGCTTTTTGCCACTCTCTCACCACATTTGATGTCCTCCTTACTAGAATCTGATTCAAACGTATGTCATCAGTGCCCCATCCATTACGTTGGACACACGGCGGACGCCGTCGCTTGCTGCGGCCGAACTGGCCCCGCAGGACGAGGTCGCTTCACAACGGAAAGGGTCTTCAATGCTTACCAAACAATTCTGGCCAAAAGGCAAAGCAGATATCTATGTAGACATCGATTTTACTCGGCCGATGATTTCCGGATTAAAGAAATCTTAGAAGAATAGTGTCTACGGAGTTGCTTGTAACTTTGATTCGACTGAGAGCTGTCAAGGTCAAAGCGAGGCACGTCACGGAGCGCACGCAAAAATGCCAACCCTTGCTGGCCGTTCGAACAACACAGGCTATGTTGAGTCGGGGAGGTGACCAATGACGACGAAACAATTTTAGCGTGCATCCCCTGTGTGTGTTTGCAACAACACAAACTAAAATTATATTTTTTGTGCAGCAGTTTTAAGGAGACGGAGAGGAAAAAGCGGATGCTGCGGCGGACTTACCTAAAGAGGTGATCGGCACAGCGTCGGTGAATGTGCGCCAACTCCTCACCGCCAAAATTCTCCGACGTTGCTACTCTGCAAGGAAGGAACGAAAAGGCCCCGTGTAAGCCTGTGGAAAAACGCCGGCAATAGCAGTTGGGTGTTTAAACGCCTTCAGAGAACAGGGAGAATGGAGAAGAGGCTGGACATAAGGTCCACCGCGGCCTGCTCTCAGAAGATAAAGGCCGACCTAGCGGTTAGAGACGCTGGTGATTATAGCGAACTGACGCCGACAATGTGGACACCGCTTAAATCGTTTTGTGGACCATCTGGTCACTGGTTGGGCCTTAATCCTAGAGTATATTGAAGATTACTCTAAGTAATTTTCACAAACATGAATTTTCAATTACAGTAGATTGCCTAAGTGATTAAATACGAAGGCAGAAAATTTAGTGGATGGTTCAGCACACATTTGAGCCTGTTTATTTTATTCGTTGAATTGACCTGAGACGCAAAATACTGTTAACTAGAAAAGATTTCATTTCAGATCAGCATATTGAAGCGAAATAGGCGCAGAATTTAGCAAAATCCAAAGGTTTTCGATACCCAAGGAATCTTCTGCGCCATTAAACGCTGTGAACCAAAACTGCTTGCTTGTGTCTATTGTACTATAAAGGAATATCAATAAAAACCAGAAACATTTTAAGTTTACGTTTTCGGAGAACGGAATATTTCGTTTTGCGTTCAGGAAATTGAGATAACGCATTGTTTTCAGCAAATGAAGAGCGGATTCAGTTTATAAAATTCGATATTGCAAATCTACTACGTTTTGTGTCATAAAATTAAGTAAAACATTTATAAGGTTGTAATTTGTGTTACCCCAAAGAAAATAACGACCGTAAACGAGCATATGTACAAACATCAGAGACGTGCCGTCATTTTTCTCTGTCAAGCCGTATAGTTTAGTAAGAACGAATAGGGAAACTTGAAACAGAACAGGTAGAAGATTCTCGGTTTTCGCAAAATCTTATTATCTATTCTGTACTTCTGACGTGCATTCGCAATCTTAGAACGGGACCTAAATGTAAAGACGTATACCAAAAACTGCTCCAGTTTACATAGAAAAGTGAGTTCTTTTACTCTCAGCAAAAGATTTACTCCTAATACTCAGGGAAGTCAAAAAACTGTCACACTTTGCCATTTTTATCTCGACTTTATCTTCGAAAAAGGTACAGTACGCAGAGAGTTGGCGTCGAATTATTTAAATAAAGCTATTTTTCAAGAGGCAATTTGTTACAGAAGGTTTTTTAAATTAGCCTAGACATATAAGTTCGTGAGTAACGTTGCAGACGTTCGTTTTTCTCGGCAATGAGTTGACATATAGGGGGGATTCTAAAACCACGACCCAGACAAACAGGTGGATTAGAAAGAATGCCCAAAAAACTCACAATTTACGTAAACGCCTTTAATATATATTTTATATTGAAGGTTTAGGTAAGCACGTAGAATATAATCCTTATTTATGGCCAATCGACTGAAGCCAGTGAAAATCGTAAAGTGTTAATTTCAATTTCAAGAAAGATCTGAACCTCGTCGTAATTGCAATCCCGAAATAATTAAGAAGAAATAGCGTGCACAAAATGGTATGTTTGTGATTGCACCGGACAATTCCACTCACATTTATTAGTCACTGAATGGCATGTCCACACGTGAGCTTACGAAATATCTTATGTGACCTCCCAATCGGTACAATAAAGCGACAATCTGGTTCCCTTTGTCTAACGTAATTCAAACAATGTATAAACGGAAGGAACAACTAGCAATTCTCGTGAAACCGTGTTGAAATACATACTTGAACTTTGGGGCGTTCGTAACAGCCGTACGTTACACTGCACGCAATATAGAAGCATGTGTATCCGAAATGTTTTTTTTAAAAAACGATTATTTTCCAACGTAGCTCTACTTGTGCTGCTTTACTGGTTCGGTTTTTTTACATGAACAGGTCTCCTCTACATTTACTATTACTATTTCGCCCGATTTTCCTTTTTTCGCAATTTTCCGCTTTTCTAAAAAAGCTGGTATTTCTAGACAACTTAATATCAATAAATAAAGCTCAATATGCACTATTTTGAAGAATGACCATTACTTTATTGCCGTAAAGCTTTGGGGGGAGGGGGGCGCAAAGTGAGCTTCTTTTGCGTAGCAGTGATTTCCTTGTAAAAATCCTTAGATTTTATCAGATAGGCAATTCTCTGTGCATGAACGCTGATGCGAAAAACTTTGAATCAATTCTTGCTTTGGCATTCAGTTCAGCTGCGAGGATCTGATCGTTTTCATTGTTAGTGGATAGCAGGAATGTGCTGGTCAATCACGCCATGGTAAGCTAGAAACGGAGTTGCTGCGGATGACAACAGAAACGTATTCTTTCTATTCGAGAACGCTGCAATCTTTTTTTTTTACTTTTATAATAAAATCTGTAAAATCATGGCGAATAGTGGGGCAACTAGTTCTTGTTCAACTTATCAACGATGAGTCACCTGATTCAGTTTAATCAGCCAAATGGTTTACTAAAAGTGTTTCACAGATTGTTCATAAAAAGTGAAGCCGATGCCAAACAAACTCATTGAAATCGCTGCATGAAAACATATGCTTACGCAATCGCCAGATTAAAGTTCTTTTTTGCAAACAGACTGTCCAACTTCGACTGAGCATCCTTCTCAATAAGTTCAAGAATCTATCGGAGAGAAGAAAAGCGTTATCGGTAACGACCAGATGAACGAAAGGAGAGTCCTCTGTCTACCTGGCAGGCACTGGCCCCAACTCACCTTGACTGAGGAGCCGGAGGGTCCGCGTTCGATAC